TCTTTCTTTCTTTCTTTCTTTCTTTCTTTCTTTCTTTCTTTCTTTCAAGTTGGAATCTCATTTTGTTGCCAAGGTTGGAATGCAGTGGCATAATCACATCTCACTGCAGCCTCGACCTCCTGGGCTCAGGAGATACTTTCACTTCAACATCTTGAGTAGCTGGGACTACAGGCACGTGCCACCATGTCTAGGTAGTTTTTTTGTAGAGACAAGGTCTTTATATATTGCCCAAGCTAGTCTCACACTCCTGTGCTCAAGCAATCCTCTTGCCTTGGCCTCCCAAAGTGCTGGGATTACAGGCACGAGTCACTGTGCCTGGCCAACTACAGCTTTCTATAGCATAAAAATTCTTCTGCAGCATATGCCTGCATACAATTCTATTTTATGGTAATTTCCTGATTAATTCAACCTGATGGACATTTATGTTTTCCCTTCTTTTAAATCTAAAAACAATGCTATAATGGCCATCCTCTCCTGGTATCTAAATCTTTGCACACATACTTGATTCTTTTAAGAATTAATTTCTAACAGTAGATGTATTGAGCAGGCAGCCAATGTCAAGATAGCCCCAAATGATCCTGGCTTCCATGTTCTCACCCTTCACTGTAAATCAGAACTGGGCTGTATGGCCAATAAATCACAGCAGAGATGCTGGTACATGGTCCCTGAGAGTGCGTCACAAAGCACATCGTGGCTTCTGCCTTTCCCTCTGGATCACTGGTTTTGGGGGAAGCCAGTAGCCATGTCATGAGGACATTTAAGCAGCCCTGAGGAGACCACCTTGTTGGGAGAAACTGAGGCCCCCAACCAACAACCAGCACCAATTTGCCAGCTTCAGGAAGTGAGAATTAGATATGTGATCACATCCAACCAGTTGGGGCCAGGAAACATATTTTAGTTGTTTGTGGACATACACTTTTAGCATTGTCTCTGCCACAGTAAATCAAAAGAAATAAAAGTGGCTACTACGGATTTAAAAAGTAAAAACCCTCAGAACTAGCTGGGCTCGGTGGCTCAGTCTGTAATCCCAGCACTTTGGGAGGCTGAGGTGAGTGGATTGCCTGAGACCACGGGTTCGAGACCCGCCTGGGCAACTTGGCGAGACCTCATCTCTACAATAAATTAAAAATTAGCTGGGCGTGGTAGCGCGCACCTGTAGTTCCAGCTACTTGGAAGGCTAAGGCAGAAGGATCGCCGGAACCCAGCAGGTCGAGGCTGTAGTGGCCAGGAGCAGCCACTGCACTCCAGTCTGGGCAACAGAGTGAGACTCCAACTCAAAAAAAAAAACCCTCAGAACTATAGAAATGTGTTTTGAAACTATGATTCACATCCCATGGAATAAACAGTTGCTGCTGCTTCTTCTTCTTTTTCTTCTTCTTCTTCTTCTCCTTCTCCTTCTCCTCCTCCTTCTCCTCCTCTTTCTTCTCCTCTTCCTCCTCCTCCTCCTCCTTCTTCCTCTTCCTGAGTGAGGTTCTCACACAGTAGCATGATCATGGCTCACCACAGCTGCAGCTTCCTGGCTTCAGGCAATCCTTCTGCCTCAGTCTCTCAAGCAGCTAGGACTACAGGCATGTGCCACTACATCTGGTCAATTTTTTTTTATTATTTTGTAGTGATGAAGTCTTGCTATGTTGCCCAGGCTGGTCTTAAACTTCTGTCCTCAAGCAATCCTCCTGCCCTGGCCTCCCAAGGTGGTGGGACTTCAGGCATGAGCCACCATGCCCGGCCCAACCCTCCTTCTTTTTAAATCTGAGAATATCCAAGCTTCCACAATTGCTACACTGTGTACACTGCTGGTAGGAATACTAATGGGCTCTGCTTTTCCAGATAACAAATGTGCAATATGTATCAGGGGCCTTTAAAATATTTATATCCCTTGACCTGAATAATTTTGCTTCTGGGAATCTATTCTAAGGAGATATTCTTTAATAAGATAAAAGGTCTATGCATAATTCACACAGTGTTATATGAAGTAATGAAAAATTGCAGACAATGTAAATGTATTCCAGAGAAAGGATAAATTATGGCACCTCCATATGTTGGAATATATGCAAGCATTGCAGGCGATGCTACAGCAGGACTTGGCAAAGTCAGCACCACAGTGTTGCGTGGGAAAGACTGCAGAATGAAATCTCTGCAATGGTGCAAACACAGTCACACAAAGAAAACACAAATGTTAACAGTGGTCTCCTCTGGGTGATGGGATGAAATTGGCCTGATTTGCACCTTTGCTGTACTTTCCCAGCTTCCCAGGGGGCACATGACACATTTGTACTCTTGCCTGTCTCTCTCCATCTGTTTAGTTGTTAGATAACAAAGACACCCTTTTTTAGAGGACTTGCTTCTGCCTGGTATAGCAGGGTGTGTGTACTTCCTTTTCCTCCTCCTCCTCTTCTTCTTCTTCTTCTTTTTTGTTTGTGTGAATGAGGGTCTCAATCTGTTGCTCAGTCTGCAGTGGCATGATCACAACCCATAGCAGCCTCAACCTTCTGGCTCAGGTGATCCTTCTGCCTCAGCCTCCCAAGTAGCTGGAACTAGAGGTGCCTGCCGCCACACCCGATTTATTTTTTGACTTTTTATAGAGATGTGGTCTGGTTATGTTGCCCAGGCTGGTCTCCAACTCCAGGGCTCAAACAATCCTTCTACCTTGATTTCCCAAAGTGCTGGGATTACAGTGCCAGTCGCAGCACCCAGCCTATACTTCCTGCAATATTTTATGCTACACAGAAAAGGAGAAACTACTCAAAAGTGATGCTTAGTGTTTTTATTGATTTCTAATCAAAGGCACACTGCCCAGCACAACCCTTCTCTAGACGGGAGTTTCTCAGCATTCCCCTGGGTGCTCCCCGGGAGTGGACGTAAGATGCAGGTGACTTGAGTGTGCCAGAGCTCTGCCCACTGCCCGCCCTTCTCCGTGATTGACTCAGAGATGCACTCGCAGCCCATCGCAGCAAAGATGCCTGTAAGAGGCGGGGCCTTATGGGAGTGGGATCTTCTGGGGCACGTCCCTGGGGGGCAGGGCGGAGGAAGGGACAGGAGCAAGCTGGAGGAAGAAGGGGTGCAGGAACAGGGGTTATGGACTGGGATGATGCGCATATCCTCACCTCACGATGTCATAATCTTCAGGTAGTACGAGCTCTGCCAAGCCCCTGCTTTCTGCCAGACCCTGACTGCCATGCGCTTGCCCACGCTGCCCTCAAGCCTGGCACAGGCTCAACTGCAAGCATCAAGGACCTGTGTTGATTTACCAAGAGTCCGGGTCACTCCCAACCCCGAGGGACAGACAGGGTGGTCCAGGGCTCCCAGCACCCAAATGCTAGCCCAGCCGGAGGCTTAGGGATGGTGTTTGCTCACCCATGGGCCCTTGCTACCCATGGCCCCCCATGACGCCCACAGCATCCTGTGAGGCTGTCAGCGTCCTGCAATAACAATGGTACACCATGGTGGCCTCTGTTCCTGTCTCACCGCTGCCCCCGCTCCTTCACCCCCCACCCCACACCCTGCCTGAAACAGTAGGAATGAGGACTGGGAGGCCCTGGGACAGGAAGCTAGTCACCAGGATGGGAGCTGCAGCCTGAGGGACCTGCTCAAGGATGGCCTCCACACTCGGACCTCGGACCTAGGCTCTGTGGTCTCACTGCTCTGAGCCTAATGGGACAGAGCTGTTTACAGAGCCTCCTTTCCCAGACTCCCCAGTTATGAACTCCATAACCTGTGACCCAGGTAAGTGATCCTCCTAGAGTGGCAGGGGACCAGCCTGCATTGCCCCTCACAGCAAAACTAAGCACTTAGGTGCTTCTGTTGCCCCATTTTACAGAGGAAGAAACAAAGTCCAGGAGGATTGGATAGCTAGTGAATGGAGTCGGAGGATTTGAGAGCCCAGCAGCCCCACCCCAGCCACTCTCAAATAGTGATTATTACTGTTGTGATTGTGAGTGGTGACATGTGTCTAAGGCAGGCGGAGTCACACCATGGGGACAGGGTACAGGATAAGGTTCAGGCCATGGAAGCTGTGACAGGGACCACCATCAGAGCTCAAACAGCAGAGAGGCACAGGGTGGGCCTGAGGCGGTCAGTGGCTGTGCCCAGGACCAGGGGACTTGGCTGGTCCCCTCCACCCCAGGGAGGAGGTGATTTGGTAGCTGAGTGGTGGAGGCAGGGTGGCTTCTAGTCAGTGAGGGCTGTTGAGGCCAGGGACCTCAGTGCTTGTAGTTGCTGGATCTGAGTATAAGGAGGGAGGGTGATAAGGAACACGAAGCCAGCCCATCCGGGCTGTGCTGGTATTGGAAATGCCCCCAAGGCGCCTGGTCTTGGTCCAGGGCCTGCAGGAAACCAAGGAGGGTTCCGAGGTCTGAGAGAAAGACAGACTGTGGTATGAGGTTTTGACCTGCTGTGAGGCTGCCTCTGGTCACCTGTCAATGCAGTGAGCGTCACTGACTAACATGAGAAGAGTGGCCCCTAGTTGTGGGGCAGAGGATGAAGAGTCACCAGGAATGTGATTCTATCTTTGTTTCCTGGACGGAAGCCTGAGGCCAAGGGAGTCCTTTCAATATGGAGCCCAGGCTTCCTGACCCATCAGGGCCCAGCTAGTGAGGACCCCACTCTGCTATCCGGACGCTTAGAAAAAAGACAAGATTGAAAACAATAGGGCTAGCCGAGCTCGGTGGCTCAGCCTATAATCCCATGCCTTTGGGAGGCTGAGGTGAGTGGATTGCCTGAGACCACGGGTTCGAGATCCACCTGGGTAACTTGGCGAGACCTCATCTCTACAATAAATCAAAAAATTAGCCAGGCATGGTAGCGCATGCCTGTAGTTCCAGCTA